CCAGGGATACTGTTTGTCCCCAAGTTTTAGAATACCATCTGCCACATAGTGGATTCTGAATGAATATTTGTCGTAAATATGTAATCCTTGATTCTTTTTAGAGATTTTTGCTATAGGGCGCATGTGCTCGCCAGAAAGACAGAGACAGAGAGACAGAAAGCAAGAAATCACCCCCTCCCCCAGGGGGGATGGCCATGCTGCAATCCCTTCTCCACCATTCTCCTCTTTGGATCTCGGGCACGCATACACACGCGCTTGGCGTGAGTTTAAGTCACCGGGTCCGGGACTCGAACTGCGATCAACTGCATGGGAGTACAGCAACATAGTACACCAACTGCTGGTCCCATTCCTTTTTTAGAAATCCTTGATTCTTATGTCCTCCTTAAATATGGTCACTCAACAAGTTTGTGTATTTCATTATTGAAGTTTTATTTTTTCTTCAATTTCACCTTTGCATCTTTGAAAAAGTTCATTTTTTCTTTGTTTAGAAAGGATTTTTAATTTTTATTTATTCATTAATTTAATTTGACCTGAGAGAGACAAAGTGAGAAAGCAAGCCATCAGGTCCAGGACTTGAACCGTGGTCGGCTATGTGGGAGTGTCCAGCGCCTTAACTACACCATTTTATTTATTTTACGAGAGCATATGTGCATGTATGAGAGAGTAACAGGCACTCTTGACAGGGTCTCCTCAGCTGTGATCTTCCAACAGTGCTTCAACTGATTAGGATCTTGGGCATGCACAAGCTCAGCCATCTATCTTGTCAACCTGGGATCTGAACCACTGGTTGGCCATGTCACTTATGGTGCTGGAGTTCAGTGCACTATTGTCTACACCTTGGAAATGAGACCATTTTTCTTAGTGCTACAATAAAATGATCTTTGGAATAAACTATCAGTGATCTTCCTAATCTTAATTTTTATGTTATTTGTATCCTATCCTGGTATTTTGTTATTAATTGGAGTTAAAAGGTACTTCTTTTGTAATTAGTTATAACTGTACATCTTAGAATACATTGGGTTATGAAGAAAGAAACAGTGACCACCCCTTGTATGATCATATATTGGTTAAATATGTGTAGAGTCTAAAGATTGTTCACATTTAAAGGAGGAGTAAGAAATTATTGATTAGGGTTGAAGGAAGAATTGACTAATCTGGGATTGTCACTAGTCATTTCACATGTAAAACACAGAATTGAAGTTAGGAAGGCCTCATGTTAAATAAAGTCAGCAGGGCTATTATGGGTATTTATCGTCTATCCCACAGACTCTAGCTAAGACCCAATTTGAGTTTTCTGTGTATGGAGCATGGAGGTCTAGTAACATCCAACATCTAAGATAAGTTTAGAAAACATCAACTTTTTTCCCCCTAAAGAATTATTTATTTATTTAATTTTATGTGTCTTTTTTTTTTTTTTTTAATTTTGACCAGAGAGGGCCCAGCAGGTGGCGTAGTGGTTGAGGTGCTGGACACTCCCACATGGCCGACCATGGTTCAAGTCCTGGACCTGGTGGCTTGCTTGCTCTCTCTCTCTCTCTCTCTCTCTCTAGTCAAAGTAAAAGAAATGAATTAATTAATAAAGTTAAATAAATAATTAAAAATAAATGAATATTTTTAAAAAAAATTTTGACCAGAGAGATATAGAGAGAAAGCTAAAGTAAGAAATGAAGCCACCAGGTCCAGAACTTGAACTGTTGTTGGCCATGTGGGGAGTCCATTACCCCAACCACCATGCCACCTGCCGACTCCTCTGTTTTTTTTATTGTGTTTTGTTTTTGTTTTTTAAGAGAGATTTTTGCTATAAGGTGTGTGCACTCACTGGAGAGAGAAAGAGAGAGACAGAAGATGAGAAATCACCCCCCCAGGGGTAAATGGCAATCTCTTCTCCATTCTCCTCTTGGGATTTTGGGTATGCACACACTTGTGTCCGAAGTGAGTTTTAAGTCTCTATGTCCAGGACTTGAGCCATGGCTGACTATGTGGGAGTCCAACAACATAACTATTACACCATCTGCTAGTTAGGTATTTTTAAAAAATTATTATTTAAATAGGGTGCATACACTAACAGAAAGAAACAGAGGGAAGGGAATGAGAAATACTCTCTTGCCTAGGGGAATGCCCACCACAATCCCCTCTCCTTCAGTCTCCTTTTAGGATTTTGGGCATGTACACACATGCACCTGAAGTGATTCTCAAGCTGCTGAGTCTAAGACTAGAACCACACAGTTGGCCATGTGGGATCCAGTGCCCTAACCTCCATTCCACCTGCTAGTCTGTGGAAAACATCTTCTAGTGAATGCAAATGCACCATAAGCATATGAAAATCAGGCTACAAATAGTATTCATAGACCAAGAACTGGGTCTGCTACATTACTACTTTCAGTAAGTATTCAGCTTTAAGATCTTAGGATTAGGGTGAACATGAATGAATAGTTCTGAGTATTTGGGAAATGAACATCTGCTGGTTAGACTTTATCATTAAGTGCTTGAGTAGTTCAAGATTGGACCCTTGGCCAGATGAACTAAGAAAACTAGAGTGATAGAACTGTGAGTTCCACAGAAAGTCATCAGCCAGAGACAGTTACACCTGTTAGCCTGAAGTCTGTATTAGGACAGCTGAATTTAAGGCAGTAGAGCATTGAACTTTTGGATTTCAAATGAGTTGTCTGTAGTCTTCCTCAAGACTTTTCTTAAGAGCCTATTTAGGGCTCTAAACCTCATGCAACTAGAGCCAGGGATCCTTTCTCAACCCCACAGGCTGTTATATAACACATTATTCTAGCGCAGGACTTTATCTCTCATCTGGTATACTGCAATACTCTTAAAATTCCCCTCCCCCCCAGTCTTGCCCTTATTGAATTTATTTTGCATATATTCTCTGAATTTGTTTACTTAAATGGAAGTTTGAGTATATTGCTTTATATGCCTTAATTTTGTTTTATGGCTCCCAATTCATAGTAGTAGTTTTTGTCATAGGGTGTGTGTGCATGCTGGAGAAGAGACACAGAGAGAGAGAGAGAAAATGAGAAATCACCCATGCATGGGAGATGGCCACATCACAGTCTCCTTCATTCTCCTCCTGGAATTTTGACCATACACACACATGTGCCTTTTGTTTATTTTTGAGTTGCTGGGTCTGAGACCCAAACCACAGTTGGCCAAATTGGGAATCCGTTGCCTTAAATACTATACCACTTGCTGGTCCCCATAGTATTTTTTAAAAATAATTATTTTTATTTAACTTTATTTGTTTGCTTATTTTTAATTTGACCAGAAAGGGACAGAGTGCGAGAGAGAGAGAAAGCAAGAAAGCAAGCTGCCCGACCCATTACTTAAACCGTGGTTGGCCATGGGGAAGTCCAGCACCCTTAACCACCACGCCACCTGTCAGCCCCCCACTTTATATTTTTAGCATTGTGTTTCTCAGTTCCCAGCAGATTCTATAGGACTCCTCACAAACTGCATTATGGAAGAGCAGAGTAGATGAGGTTCGAGATTTTGCCCAACACAGTTCATCTCCCTTAGAGTAGTTTCTTTCATCTCTTTTACATATTGAGCTGTTTTAAACTTTAATGTGGAAAAGGTGTTTGATGATCAGATAATAATTTTATAACTACTGTCCAACAGGTAGTTTGGGCTCCTTAAATAGTTTGGGACTCTTCATTTTCTTCTGCTAATCTTTACTACAAGCTTAATACTCCAGTATACAGAATTTATATACAGCTCTACTCTGCCTTTGTTTTTATATATTACTCATTCACCTATAATATTCTTTCTTTCATTCTCTGTTATCTGGCTAACTCCTACTCTTTATTTTAGGCATTTTTCAAGTGTCGTCATGTCTGGAAAGCCTGTCTATTTCCTTCCCCGGCAGGCTTGAGTTAGGTATCCTTGTTAGTATTCCAAAAACTCTGTTCTTATTTCTCTTATTGTATTTTTGGGAATTATTTTTGTTATTGTTTCTGTTTCATTTGCTAATTTTAACTCCTTATGAGCAAGGACTATATTTTAAAGTTATCTTTATGTATCCCCAGGAATACTATAGAGCCTGATGTGTGGTAGATACAATTATTTGTGCAGTAAATTAATTAATTGTTGTCTGTATCTTTCTGGTACATTACACAGTAAATATGTAACCTAAAACTAAATGTATTTATGTGAACCCTGTACAGAAATTTACTCTCTGTTGCCTGAGTTTGTTGGTCATAATGTACCCAAACATTTGAGTTTAAATGTGCATTTTAAAAGACAAGAATATTAATGCAGCTTTTAGTACGATCTAGAATTTAAGTTTAGTAGCTGTTCTGTATTTTGTACAACTCTGAAATGTGAAGCTTTTCCATGTAATCTCATGCCAATGTTGACCCAAGTGGATTAAAATAGCCCTTTTTTAATCTATGACCAAATTAGGAATTAGAATATCTATCCAGTGGGGATTTGTAAATTATTGTAGTTTGTAGCATGACAGGTTTATATAAATAATTGCAGTGATTCCCACTGTGTGTTTTAACTTAAAATCTAGGTTCAAACAGAGAAATGTAATGGCGTAAGTACTAAAGATTGCCAGTTGGAAAATTTATTGTGATTCTTTAGCATTTTTTATCTTTTTAAAGGGATCAACAAAACTGATAATTGATTTAAAAAAAGATTTCATTTACCTAAAATATCTACCTGTGTTCCTTAAATTCAAATTTAATGTTTATTTAAACTGCTAGGCTTTTATTTGTAGTATATATGTTTTTAAAACATTCTGTTAAGTCAAATTTTAACTTTAAAAATTTCTAATAGCTACAGTGAAGTCATCCCAGAATTTTCTTTTAAAGTTCTTAGTACATTGAAGATTTCTCTGTTTTATAACTTGAAGTTTAACTATATATCCACTAATACTTAATGAAGATTTTGGTTTTTCATTGTGTTTCTCAAGAACTTAAATGTAAAATAAATAGTGTTGGTTATAATGCTTTAGTGTCTTAAAATTACAAACTTTTCTTTTTATACAGATAAAGACACAATAAATAAAATTAGAGACTTACGTATGAAAGCTGAAGATTATGAAGTAGTGAAGGTGATTGGCAGAGGTGCATTTGGAGAAGTTCAGTTGGTAGGTTATTTTAATGAGGTTAAGAACTTTTATAAATTAAAAAAAATTCACTCATGTGTTTAATATGTTATTTGGGAAAATACTGTTTTTGATAGATCTTGCTTTAAATTTCTCTAGACATTTTTGCCTGAGGGTATGAAAGCCTAGGTTCAACTCCACCAGTAGTGCAAAATGTTTTCCCAAGCACCCCTGGGTAGAGTAGTCTCACATATCAGAAGAGAACTCTGGGGGCCGCAGATGGCATGGTGGTTAAGGCGCTGATCCTACATTGCTGACTCCACCATTTGTATCCCAGACTCAGTGGCTTGAAAACCATGCTGTGTGCATAAGTGAATATCCATTATCCTTTCAGGAGAATGGAGAAGGGATTACAGAAGGGCTGTTCTCTCCCGTACCCCCAAGGGTAATTTTTCACTTGCCCTCTTTCTGTATCTCTTTCTCGTTCCTGCAAAGTGCACACACCCTATAGCAAAAATCTTAAAAGAAAAAAAAAAAAAGAAGAAAAATGTCCTAATACTAGATCACCTAAGATGCTATGGAATAGCTTTGTTTTTTCTTTTTTGGTTTGTTTGTTTTTTGAATAGAGGTTTTTGCTATAAGGTGCGTGCACTTGCTGGAAAGAGAAACAGAAAGTGAGAAATCACCACCTATGGGGGATGGCCATAATATAATCTCTTCTCCTCCATTCTCTTCTTGGGATCTTGGGCACGCACATACGTGTGCCCAGCATGAGTTAAGCCGCCAGGTCCGAGACTCGAACCACGATCGACTACGTGGGAGTCTAGTGACATAACCATGACGCCATCTGCTGGTCCTGGAATAGTAAGCTTTATAAATAGAAAGCAGCATACCTGGCAGGGGGTGGGAGGATTGTGTTATAATATGGGAAATAGAGTCTTTTCATTAACATTGCTTCTGATAATTAAAGCCTTGACATTAGCAAATTGAGATAATTCAACATCAGAGAAATAAAAATAGCTGAAAAAAAGTTAAATTATTTAACAAGTATTAAATCATTTAATAAATTATTCTGTGAAATTTTGAACTGTACAAATTCATTATTTTTCATTTTCTGTTTTAAAGGTTAGGCATAAATCTACCAGGAAAGTATATGCTATGAAGCTTCTCAGCAAATTTGAAATGATTAAGAGATCTGATTCTGCTTTTTTCTGGGAAGAAAGGGACATTATGGCTTTTGCTAACAGTCCTTGGGTTGTTCAGGTATGATTTTGCTGCTGTTTCGTTATTGTTGTACTAGTTTGTAACTAAATATATCAGAAAAGTTTAGTTTGTTTTTTAGAACAGCAATAGAAGATTTATTGATAATTACATAATTGCTTAATATATTATTATTTTTTAATCATAAAATTTAATTTTATTGAATCAGCTGTAAAAGGAAAGTAAAGCCAAAGCAAAATGATAGCGTCCATAGAGTTTTAAATATAGAAAATTTAAAGAACCTGCTTTGATTTGAGGGAAGTCACATATTAGTATATATATTTTAAATTTTTTATGAAACATATTTTAATTAATTAATTTACATTAATTCCCTGAGCGTCATCACAGAATACAAAATGAGATTTCCTATCCAGAATATACTGCATAGTGGCTTAATCATACATGTTATCGTCAATAATTTTTTCCTTTTACCCCATTTCTGACTCTCTGCTATATTTTATTTATTTAAAATATTTCTTCCATTAGAGGGAAGGGGGAAAGACTGGCATCCCCAGCAGGATCTTCATGCCATGAATCACCTACTGGCCTCAGCCAACCCAGATCATGGGCACGTGCACACCCAATATGCATAGGGAGGCGCAAGGACAATAATTTGTGACCTTTCCTTGTGGGACCAATTGTGTTACCTCTATGCCACTTTTTGGTCTATGTACTTAAACTTTAGTTACTTTTATTTAATTTTGAAGCTTATTATGTTCCTTCCTCAACATGAAATCCTCTTATGTAACTCTGTATTTATCTGTTAGTCTCTCTTATTTTTTGGAGAAAAGAGAATGGGGGAAATGAAAAAGGGAACAGAGTTCTGTTCTAAATAGTGCTGTATTGGCTCAAAGTTTTCAGTAGAACAAAAAACACACTAGGAGTCAGTAGTTGTTGGTTCTAGTCTAGACTCCATTGTCCTATCTGTGAAGCTTGGCTAAGTTACTTAACTTCACTGGGCCACAAGTTTCCTTACTCATAAATGTGAAAGTTATTTTTGATTGGTTATTTTGAGTGTGGAGGTACCATAGATAAAATCTTGATTAGATTGGGTAGATTATAATTCCAAATTTTCTACCTTTCTTCAACTACAACAGCTCATTGTTTTTTTGGTCTTAGGTATTAGGGCCCTTAATTTAAGTGAGATCTCATATGCAGGAGGTAAACTAGGCTAGACCATTTCTAAATTCCTAATGTATTAATAATTTGTGATTTACTCATTTTCAGTATATAGTAAAGACAGTCTTTAATAAGCATACTAGTTATTGGACTAAAAATGATAGGGAAAATGTTGAAGATTTATATAATACCTTTTAAGCCTGAAATGTATGTTTTGTTTTTATTTACAGTGTAGATCAGGGTTTCCTGGTCTTGGTACTGTTGGCATGTTGAACCAAATAATTCTTTATAGTTAGGGACTCTCCTGTGCATTATTCTAATTACTGGTATTCATACCTGGGATATTTGGCAGCATCCTTGGCCTCTACCTAGGAAACCAGCAGCAAGCCTTTCCACCCTATACACCATTTGTAACAATCAAAAATATGTTTAGACATTGTTGAATGGTGCTTTGGTAGTGGTGGTTGGGGGTGGACATTATAACCTCAGGTTGACGATCACTGATATATAAATGTGCAGTGTTCCGTTTCAGAATGAGAAGATATATGTTGTCATTGTTAGTTTCAGGGATAAATTCATGACTTAAGTATCTGAAGCTTTATTTATCTTGATATATTGTCTACAAATAGGATAAACTACATCAAATTAACAACATTTCTTTAATTATGGGGTCTAAAATCACAAATGATTTACTTTACTCTGGGATAGCCATGAAATGTCACTTGGTTTCTTTTTTAAGACAGATTTTTTTTTTATAGAGGTTTTTTTTTTTTTTTTTTTTTTTTTTGGCTATAGGGCACATGCCTTCACCAGAAAGACAGAGAGAAATTTAGTAATTTTAATTAAAAATATATATATTTTTGGAGGGAGGAGAAAGAATAAGAAACCAAGTGACAGGACCAGCAGTTAGCGTAATGGCTATGTCGCTGAACTCCCATGTACCTGACCGTGCTTTGAGTCCTGGACCCGGTGGCTTAAACTCACGCCAGGTGCGTGCGTGTGTGCGTCCCCAGGATCCTGAGAGGCAACTGGAGGAGAAGGGATTGCAGCGTGGCCACCCCACACCCCCCTCACCCCTACACCCCATCCCCCCTCCCCCCGCGTCTCCCTGTCTCTGTCTTTCTGGTGAGCACACATGCCCTTTAGCAAAAATATCTAAAAAAAAAAAAAATTTTTTTTAAATTTAAAAATAAAAATAAGAGAAAAAATATGTAAACATCTAAGTAAATTAGATTCCCCCCCCCCCAGGGCTTATTTTAATTTTAAGATTTATTTAATTCTAAATTCCTTGTATCTACTTAAAATGTCCTTTTGTAAATTGTTCTTTTTACTTTAGCCCTGGTCTCACATAATATATTTATGCATGATACTTTTGCCAATATCATATTAAAGTATTTTATTCTTCCTACTTTGACTCTGGATGCTGCCTTCTTCCAATTTCTTTTGTTAACTGTAACAAAGAAAAACTGCTCTTTTTCCCACTGACTGCTATCATTTATTGAGCATCTATTGCACTAAGTGCTGTTTTATATTCAATAATCTTCTTAATAACTGAGAAAGATTTAATGCCTGTTAAATATACCCCACATTCATGATTTTGTTTATTAAACATTTATTAAGCACTTATTAACTGCTAAGCACCCAGATGCTGACTTACTGAGCAGCCGTCAGTCTCAGATATGTAAATTGCTTTGTGACATTTGTTTCTTTTTTTTTTTCTTTTTCTGAACTGTGTTTATAATTTCTGTTAATTGCTTAACATTTCTGAGTCCCCATTTGCTAAAGTCATACAGCTAAGAGGGAATAGCTGAAACAGCCCAATTTATCAAACTTACTGAGAATTTAGTTATTGATATAAATGTAACAGTAAACTCCACTCATGTACAAGTTAAATTGGAAGTAGACACACACACACACACACACACACACACACATTTTTTTTTTAAAGGTTTTTGCCTTAGGGTGCATGCCTTCACCAGTCAGGGACAGAGAGAGGCAGCAAGAGAGAAAGTGAAATAGGATGGCCATGCTGGAATCCCTTCTCCATCCTCTCCTAGAATTTTGGGCATGTGTGTACATGAGTACAGCATGATTTTCAAGCCACCAAATCAACCGTGGTCTGCCATGTGGGAGTCCAGTGCCATACCTACTATGGCACCTGCTGGCCCTGAGATTTGTATGTTTTTAAATTGAAATTATTATAACAACAACAAAAAAAAAACAAACAACTTGGTATAAAAAAACATTTAAAATAGTATAGAAAGTTATGAACAAAAAAAATGTTTCCATCTAATTCTTCAGAATAACTACTTTCTAGTTCCTTTGCATATACAGGTGTCTTTGTGACATTTATGTTTCTTTTTTTTCTTTTTCTGAATGGTGTTTACGATTACTGTTCCACAATTTGATATTTTACTTAAGCCTTATATTAGCATTTTTGCCAGTTTTTAAATGAAACAATTTTACTTAATCTTAACAAATGCACTTTTTGTATTTGTGTAGCTTTTTTATGCATTCCAAGATGATCGTTATCTCTACATGGTGATGGAATACATGCCTGGTGGAGATCTTGTAAACTTAATGAGCAACTATGATGTGCCTGAAAAATGGGCACGATTTTATACTGCAGAAGTAGTTCTTGCATTGGATGCAATCCATTCCATGGGTTTTATTCATAGGTAAGGATAAACATACTTTTAACTTTTCTCATTTGTTGAAAGAGTACTTGAAAAGGACATAAATATTTTTGATTAATATTTCCCACTCTAAATTTACCCATTTTCATACATGACATGAATGACATTTCAGAACTTAAAACGTTAGTTTTGGTATTTCAGTTTAATGTTGCTATAAATGCATTCTTTAATATTCCTTAATATGTTTATATGGCTTTTCTGTGGTTTTCTGAAAACTAGTAATTGTAAGCTGGTTTTCTAAGGTACTTGCCAGGGTGTTAAACCACTTTGATTTTAAATTTTCATGATGTAAATTGGTGTGGTTTTGATTAGTGATTATGTTTATTCATTAGAAGAATAATTTCATTTGTTCTGCAAACACTGATTAAATCCCATGTGTAGTTGCTGTACTGCATCTCAGGCATTGAAAATGAGAATGGTTTAGCCCTTGTCCTGGTGTTACTCATCTATCTTCTATGTTTCAACTGTGTTTTATGTCCAAGTGTTAGGTTTTTGATGGTTAATCTCTCAAATTGATTTCCCCATCCCCAGAAGACTCAAACTCTAGTTAAAGAAGAATATATGTGTCTTCTTCTGAGGTGTTAACATATAAAGGGATTTTCTTGATAAAATTCAGATTGTAAATGTGGATAGAGAACCCATATACATTAAAGTGGCCTTATCTATTAGTAGATTGAGAGTACTTGAACTAAAGTACCTACCTCATAAGTTTTATCAATGTCTGATCTGTTTCAGAAGTATTCTACTGTTTCTTTTTCCCCCTCAGAGATGTGAAGCCTGATAATATGCTGCTGGATAAATCTGGACATTTGAAGTTAGCAGATTTTGGTACTTGTATGAAGATGAATAAGGTTAATAAATTAGGTTTTAATTTAGATTTTGCTAATTCAAGATAGATACATCTTTAGAAAATGCTATTAAGAACTCACTTACCATATCTGGACTTGTTCAGAATTGATGTGACATTATTTGTTGAACTAGATACCATGGTTTCAATGTTGTATTAGTAACTTGTTAGCGATTTTTTCCCCCTTTCTATTTAGGGTGAATGTGGATTGCCAGATTTACTAAATCCTTCATAACAACTCTGTAATATACACTACTGGTAACTAGAAATGGAATTAGCTTAAATGTCACGAAATACTTACGCCAGTGGTAAAATCAGACTTTTGTAAAAATTTGGGTTAGTAACCCATGTGTTTTTTAGTGTTTTACCTGTTTTCTGTTAACAATGGAAGTTTTTACTGTTTATTTTAATAGTGAATTTTAGAAGATACTCATCCTCACTATTTATATAATAAATAACTTATATACACAGCTGAAGGAGCAAGTATACCTCTTTAATTTCAGTTGAAACAGTTTATATTCTTTGAAACTTGTCATAGAACAGTAGTCAATAAGCTGTACTTAAAACATTTTAAAAGAAGATTTATTGGTTAAAAAGAAACACTACAGGGTCAGCAGGTGGTGTGGTGGTTAAAGCACTGGATTCCCACATGGCCATGTGTGGTTTAAGTCACAGCCCCGACAGCTTAAAAATCACAACAAGTAAATAAGTAAATGTTTTTGTTTTTAAAGAAAAATACTGCGTGAAAACCTTTATATAAACATTTAATTATAATTGTGTTGCATTAATACTAGCTAAAATAGATAAAAAGTATGCAGATAGTTTTTGGAAGGGAAGTTTAAAACATATATCAGATAGATTTTTGTGTATTTAACACTATTATGATCATTTGCTGTAGACCTGCTTCCCTACTTTATATTTGTATAGTTAAGTCTCTTTTTTTGTAACTTCAAGCATATTTAAATAGAATGATTATTTTAGTCAAAATGATTAAATTAACATTTATATTAGTAAGTTATAAAGTGCTTTATTCTGTCAACCTCTTATCTATTTATATTGGCTTATATTAATATATTCTTAATTCATATATTAATTAAAATGAAATCATTATTGTTGGCACACTTGGAGGAATAAGTGATGGCAGTATGTCTTTCTAGTGATTAGTATTACAAAATAAAAACCACCAATAAGTGTGTGTACCCATATACTGTGTATTATATATGTATAATGAATATATTATATATATAGTGTATAAATGCAATTAAGCTAATTGTTAGTTTACATTAAGTTTTGATATATTTCATAGCCCAAAAGTTTGGAGTTCTATAGATTTATATTAAGTATGAAGTAATTTAAAATAATTGAGCCATTATATTTATACCTAATTCAGAATTTGCCCTGCTACTTTTTTTAGGAAGGCATGGTACGATGTGATACAGCAGTTGGAACACCTGATTATATTTCTCCTGAAGTATTAAAATCCCAAGGTGGTGATGGTTATTATGGACGAGAATGTGACTGGTGGTCAGTTGGGGTATTTTTATATGAAATGCTTGTAGGTGAGTAAAGTGAGAATTTTATGTACCTTGAATACTAAAACTATCACTTGGCTTCTTCTAATATGATATTTTTTACATTAAGCAATGTTGATTTTATTTGTAGGAAAGAAATATCCAAACCTGTATCGTATGTGTTTTTAAAAGTTGTTTAGAGGCTTAGACCAATTTTGTGATTTATTATTTTATTTATTTATATGTATCTCACATATGTTTTTTAGTTTAACTCATATGTGCTCATTTGTAACAGGTAGCTTTGACTGTTTTCCTTTGAAAAATTATTTTTTCCAAATATACCTTATTTTGCCTTTTTTCCCCATCAGGTGACACACCTTTTTATGCAGATTCTCTGGTTGGGACTTACAGTAAGATTATGAACCATAAAAATTCACTTACCTTCCCTGATGATAATGACATATCAAAAGAAGCAAAAAATCTCATTTGTGCCTTCCTTACTGACAGGTAAATAATCTTAATATTGAACTTATTTCTATTTTAAGGAATTTATATCTCTCTGTCCGATTTTTTTTCCCTCTGTCCGATTTTTAAGGTCCATATTTGAGCTCCTACAGGTGAACTATTAGAACATAAATGAATATAAATGCTATCATTCCCCTAGTCACTTGTGATGGTGAAACCTGATACAGTTTTATCATATTCTGGATATCTTTTCTGGATCTCAACCTACTGTGCCTAAGAAATTGGGATACAAGCCTTGGCTGATGGTAGATTAGATGACTTTTTTCTTTGATTAAAATTTTAAGTCTATTACTATGAAAATTATTTTTTAAAACATATTAACATGTCTGAAATTAAAGTGTATCTCACAATCAATCATATGTATTGATTTAATTGGGAGCATTTTTCCCCTGACCAATAAGAAAAGGATCATGCATCTTCTAATTTATGCCATCTTAGATTTGATGACATACAGTGTATGCTTGTTGAGATAAAGAAAATGGTATGAAGCTATGAGAAATATGAATTTCCTACCTTTCTCCTAGACATAGTCACTAGTATTATATCTTCAAGATTCAATAAGCATTTTAATAAGTATGTATGTATTTGTGTTTTTGAAAAAAAAAAAATGGTGTGTGATGTAAACCATTGTGGTTAGCTTTTTAAATTTGAAAGTAAACCAGAGGACTTAGTGAGGTCGGAAAGTAAACCAGAGGACTTAGTAAGATGATATAAAATGCTTGTGATTGTGTCGTTAGAAGGCCTCGTACTTTCACATGTTTCAATTTGAGATTCACTTTAATTAAGATTAATTAATCTTCTTTAAGTATGTCCTTTAGAGCTTTAAAGGAGGTGTAGTTTTGCAGAATTTTACATTTGCTTTATAATGCCAGAGGCCATATGTGCTTACCGTAGAGAAAGAGACAGAAAGAGGGAGAAAGCACTCTCTGGGGGATAGTCACACTGCAGTTCCTTCTCCTTTTCTGCTTCCTGTAAGGACTTTCAGTACACATGCACATGTGCCTGGCATGATTTTAAATCACTGGGACTGGTATTTGAAATGTGGCTGGCCATGTGGGATCCTGCTCCCTTAATCACTGCTGTATGGGCCAGCCTAAATGTTACATTTGAATGTGAAAAACTGTACTATGCAGTGTGTTGGTTGCTAGAGATATATAAGTGCGTAAGATACACGGCCACTTTTTCAAATACCTCAGAGTCTTTGGGGAGAATAGACAAGCAAGTCAGACATTTATGCTACAGAAAGATAATTACTATGAATAAATACAGTGTTTCAGAGAATCATTGAGAGATTTCTTCTTATAGTCTGAGAGAGTCAGTGAAAGCTTCTTAAAGAAGGTATGTGTCTCTTTCTCTAAGTAGCAACTCTTTATCTAAGATAGTCTGCCTTTTAATTCATGAAAAATAATTGTAATTCTCATAGTTTGTAAGCATTCTACTAGAGAACAAAAAGGTGCTGAGTTCTTTCCAATTCAGCTAAAGGCACGTTTTATTTTAGAGAGATTTTTTTGCTATAGAGTGTGTGTGCTCATCAGAGAGAGAGAGAGAAACCGACAGAAAGTGAGAAATCACCCCCACCCGGGGGGGTGGTCATGCTGCAATCCCTTCTCTTCCATTCTCCTCTTGAGATTTTGGGCATGCATGCATATGTGCCCAGCGTGAGTTTTAAGCTGCTGGATCTGGGACTTGAACCATGGTTGACAATGTGGAAGTCCAGTGATGTAACCATTACACCATCTGTTGGTCCCTAAAGGCACGTTTTAGAAACTGTTTCTGTGTTACCAAAGAGGCCAGTGAACAGTGACTTATCCAGGTAAAGTTCTGAATTTTGTAGCACTGTCAAGAATTAGTTGTTAGGGAATGGCGGGTACCAGGTTCGTTGAGGTGGCGTCTGTTCACGTCTGGTATCTGCTCAGCTGTCCTCAATCATGGACCCAATCCGGAGTTTCTGCAGGAAGCTGCAATCTCTGGCCAGCACTCTAGACCGCGAGACAGGGCCAGCTGCAGCGAGTGCTGGACGGAGAGGACAGCGGGTGATGTCAGTATTCTTCTTGATAAAGCAAGATTGGAAAGTCAAGAAAGCATTGGTTTCATTAAGGCAACGAAAGTAATGAAAAAAAGTTCAGCAGATATCATGAAAATAAGAGAGTTTTTCCCAGAAGTATGGATATAATCCATGTGCTAAGATAAATTCAGTAAATGAGCAAGAAGTCATTGCTTCTACCCCAGAGTTGGCCGAGTGTGAGAATTTTCAAAAGCCTGATGTGAAGGATGATCTGTCTAATCCTCTTATTCCAAGCAGTTCTGTTTCTGAGAAGTCGCCACGTAGTCCACAACTTTCAGATTTTGGACTTGAGCGATACATGGTATCACAAGTTATACCAAACCCCCCACATGCAGTAAATAATCATAAGGAAGAGCCTAAAACTGTAACCTCACCTACCATACAATCACTACCTAAAGTACTAAAAACTCCAACATGTGCACTAAGGATGGATGATTTCGAGTGTGTAACTCCTAAGTTAGAGCAGTTTGGTATCTCTGAATATACCATGTGTTTGAATGAAGATTATACCATGGGCCTTAAATGTGTGAAGAAAACTAAAAGTGAGGAGACTGTAGAAACAGAAAGTATGGCCAGTGATAAATTTTTGGCTACTCCTGGCCCCATAATCCAGCAGATGGAAAAAAGTGATGCTGAGTATACAAATTCCCCCTTGGCTCCTACATTCTGCACTCCTGGTTTGAAAATTCCTTCTACAAAGAACAGCACAGCTTTGGTATCCACAAAGCACTCATTATCAAAAACAAGTAGTTCATCAAGTGATTTGGAAGTTAAAGATTGTACCCTTGTTAGTTTTAAATTCAGAGGAGTGCTTTGACAATTTTGCAGATCCCTCTTCTACAGTTTCTTCTTATGAAAATCTACTCAGAACACCTACACCTCCAGAAGTAACCACAATTCCAGAAGATATTCTCAGGATCCATCCATTAAAGAAACTGGACAGGATTAAATGAAAGCAAAGCTCGACGTATTTTGTTATTCATAGTCTCCTCTTTCCTTCTTCTCACTGCTGACAAGTTTTTATTTTCTCCTCTTGTCTTCCAGCTTTTGCACTGTGTTGGGTTCATCGTCTCACCTCAGCTCCTTCCACCACACTGCTAAACTCTGATCCTTGCTGCTGGAGCCTCTAGAGCTATCTGACGGTGTCAAACTGTCCTGTCTATCCAGCCGCATATCTTCCAATTTAAATACAACCGATAAGTAATTAAGTTTATCATAGTGCTCTTGGAGAACTTTAAAATTCTAGCCAGTGGGAAAAGTAAGGGCCTAGTGTACTGTGGAGACAGGCTTAAAATTTGAGAGAAAACAACATTGCCAAGTATCCTGATGGGTGCTTTAAAGGATTCGTTTTGGGAAATGAGATGCAGTAAAGGTTCCCTCTTCAATGATTGAGCCTTGAAAGTCAAATGGAAAACCTGTTATGTTATGCTCTATTTTGTCAGAAAACTGTCCCCAAGACAAAACTTGATTTATTTATTCCTTTTCCTAGGAATTACTGTATAATTTTTGCAAAATAAAATGTAAAATAACCATACTTACTTTCATTTTCAAGTAAAGCTCTAGTCAAACTTAAAAAAAAAATTAGTTGTTAGTAGGGTTTTTTTTTTTTTTCTCTATTCTTTTTTAGAATTTTCTATAGGACATGCGTATTTGTCAGAGAGAGACAAAGAATAGAAAAGAAAGTGAGAAATCACCTCCCCGGGGAGAGTGCTTACCCACAATCCCTTCTCCTTAATTTTCTGGGATTTTGGGCATGCTTGCACATGTGCCTGGTGTGATTTTTCAAGCTGCCAAGTCTAGGACTTGAACTGTGGTCAACCACATGAGTGTCTAGTGCCTTAACCACCATGCCACCTGCTCTCCTCTATTGGTTTTTTTTAGTCAGAAATATTTAATAGGGACCAGCAGTTAGCGTAATGATTCTGTCGCTGGTCTCCCATGTAGTCGACCATGGTTCACGTCCCGGACCCGGTGGCTTAAAACTCACGCTGAGCGTGCGTGTGTGCGTGCCCAGGATCCCGAGAGGAGAATGGAGGAGAAGGGATTGCGGCATGGCCATCCCCCCTGGGGGGGTGATTTCTCACTTTTTGTCTCTCTGTCTGTCTCTGTCTGGTGAGCGCACATGCCCTATAGCGGAAAACCTCTCCAAAAAAAAAAAAAAAAAAAAAAAAAAACATTTTTTGGCTTCCCTTCCCCCCAAGTTCCTAGCGTTTTTTATAGCAGCTGGTGTAAAGCTAAGTTGTTAACTGAAAAAAAATTGTAATTTTACCACTATTAAAAAAAATTGTCAGGAAGCCAGTAGACAACATAGTGGTTAAGGTGCTGGATTTCCATGTGGCCTACTGTGGTCGAGTCCCGGACCCAGTGGCCTGAAACTCACATCAGGCACGAGTATGCATGCCCAAGATTCTAAGAGAAGAATGAAGAGACAAGGACAAGGGCTTGCAGCGTGGCAATTTCTTTGAGGGGTAATTTCTTTTTTTCTTTTCTTTTTTTTTTCTTTCCTTGGAGAGGTTCTTGCTATAGAGTGCGTGCGCTCACCAGAAAGACAGAGAGATAGAAAGTGAGAAATCACCCTCCAGGGGGCTGGCCATGTCACAATCCCTTCTCCTCCTTCAATTTTTGGGCACATTTGCACACACGCCTGGCATGATTTTTGAGCCGTTAAGCCACTGGGTCTGGGACTCGAACTGCCGTCGGCTACATGGGAGTTCAGCGACATAGGCATTATGATAACTACTGGTCCCTTTGAGGGGTAATTTCTCACTGGCTTTCTCTGTATCTCCAGCGAGCACATGCGCCGTTTAGCAAAAACAGTTTCTAACAACAACAACAAAAATTGGCCATCCAACAGCTGGCCTGGTGATTAAGACTCTGGATAAAACATGGTTAACTCAGCAGTTTGAATCCTGAACCCAGTGGCTTGAAACACACTAGGCACACATGCATGCATGCCTAAAATTCCAAAAGAAGAATGGAGGTGAAGGGTTCGCAGTGTGGCCATCCCTCTGGGAGTGATTTCTCACTCCCCCCACCCCCACCCACCTCCCCCTTCATGATGAACATGCATACCCTATGGCAAAAATCTAAAACAAAACCAAAAAAAATGGAATGAGAAGTGTAAAGAAAATCCATTATGTTTTATTCATTGTGCTAATGAAGCAAGCCTATGATTCATCTACGTATTCATTATCTATAGAAAAGTCATGGAGTATTAGGACTAGCAGGTGGTGTAATGGTTACACTGCTGGACTCCTCTGTGACTGACCATGGTTTGAGTCATGGACTCTGCAACTTAAAACTCATGTCAGGTGCATGTGTATGTGTGCCCAAAATCCCAAGAGGAGAAAGGATTGGAACCTTTCCACCACCCCCCCGCCGGGGGGTGATATATCGCTTTTGTCTCTGTCTCTTTCTGTCTCTTCAGCGAGTGCACACGCCCGTTAGCAAAAATCTTTCTTAAAAAAAAAAGAAAAAAGAAAAGTCATGGAGTATCAAAAATTTGTGGTTTTGTGTATTTTTTCATTAGTATTATTTGTTTGTTTTGCTGTCAGGCATGTGTGCCTGGCAGAGAGAGATAGGAAAAGTACAGGGAAAGTGAGAAATTACCCCCAAGGTGGGATGGCGACCCTGCGATCTCTTCCCCTCCAGTCTCCACTCGAGACTTAGGGCACATGCCCAGAGTGATTTTTCAAGCTGCTGAGTCTGGGATTTGAACAGTAGTCATGTGGGAGCCAGTGCCTTAACTTCCATGTCCTAGTGGCCCTCGTTAGTATATATTTTTAAATTCTTGAATATTTTTAGTCTTCGGGGCCAGCAGGTGACATGGTGGTTAAGGGCACTGGTCTCCCACATGGCCGACTATGGTTTGAGTTCTGGACCTGATAGCTTGCTTTCTCACTTTCTCTTTCTCTCTCTCTCCCTCTCTGTCAAATTGAAATAAATAAATAAATGTATAAATAAAGTAAAATAAAATAATTCTTTAAAAAATATTTTCAGTCTTCAATCCTTTTTTTCTTTTTCTTTAAAAAATTATTTTATTTATTATTATTATTATTTTTAATTTGTTAAAGGCCACATGAACTCACCAGGGAGGGCAGAGAGAGAGAGAGGGCAAGTGAGAAAACAAGCCACGAGGTTTGGGACTCAAACTACAGTTGGCCATGTGGAAGTTCAGTACCTTAACCACCACACCACCTGCTGGTCCCTCAATCCTTATTTTCTATTTGAATTGAAAATTATGTTGACAGTCATTCTAATTTCAAAGTGACCTAGAATTTTGTTTGTCATCCTTCACAGATTTATTAGTATTCTTAATTTGTTAAAGGCCACATGAACTCACCAGGGAGGGCAGAGAGAGAGAGAGGGCAAGTGAGAAAACAAGCCACGAGGTTTGGGACTCAAACTACAGTTGGCCATGTGGAAGTTCAGTACCTTAACCACCACACCACCTGCTGGTCCCTCAATCCTTATTTTCTATTTGAATTGAAAATTATGTTGACAGTCATTCTAATTTCAAAGTGACTTAGCATTTTGTCATCCTTCACAGATTTATTAGTATTCTGTACGCAAATAACCCTGGACAAATTATAATAAAGTCTTAATGATTAATCAATTCTTTCCTTCCCTCTCTCTTCAGAGAAGTGAGATTAGGGCGAAATGGTGTAGAAGAAATCAAACGACATCTCTTCTTCAAAAATGACCAATGGGCTTGGGAAACACTCCGAGACAGTAAGTTATTTTTTCTTGCACGTTACAGTGAACATTTGAAAGCGGTTGTGGGAAATAGTGTGTTGAAACTACCGTACTAAATAATTGTGTATATGTGATAAAAGTCAGAAGTACATAAAAAAAAACTATGCCCCAACAAAATATGTCATTGAAGACAGTATATTTTATAAGATTGATGAAATAGTAATGTTTCTTATATCCTTCTTCAGATAACCAAGATGAAATATAACAGAAATGTAAGATATTTAGATTCACCAATCATAATTTGATATTCAGTTTTTGTTCAATTGCTCTTCTAGACTTTAGTTATCTTATTAAGAAGGAAGTCAAGAGGTAAGTGGTAATGAGGTGTTTTTTGGTATTTTTGCTATAGGGCGTGTGCATGCTTGCTAGAGAAACAGAAAGCAAGCAATCACCCCCCACCCCTGGGAAGGGGATAGCCATGCCACAATCTCTTCTCTATTCTCCTCTTGGGATCTTGGGCACACTTGTACACGTACCTGGCATGAGTTTGAAGCCATCAGGTCTGGGACTTGAACTGTGGTCGGCCATGTTGGAGTCACCGACATAACCACTCCGCCATCTGTTGACCCCAGGTGGTAATGAAATAAAAATATATTTCTTAGAAAAAGACTAGTTACACTCTTGTTTTATTAAAACCTAATATATTAAAGAAGTTCTTGGGACCAGCAGATGACGTAATCGTTACAGTGCTAGACTCCACATCATCAATCACAGTTCAAGTTCTGGACCTGGTGCCTTAAAACTCATGCCAAGTGCATGCGCGTGTGTGCCCAAGATCCCAAGAGGAATGGAGGAGAAAGGTTTGTGGTGTGACCATCCCCCTTGGGAGGGTGACTTCTTGCTTTCTGTCTCTTTGTCACTCTGTCTCTACAGCGATCGCAAATGCCCTATAGCAAAAATCTCTCTCTTAAAAAAAAGTTGTTGTTTTTTGTTTTTTTTTTTTAATTGCTGGAAGGCATGTGCATGCACCCAACAGAAAGCTTCCCTCTGATGTAGCATGGTCACCCCACAATCCTTTTTTCTTCATTTCTTCCTCTTGTTAGGATTTGGGGCATGCACACATGCATGCCTGGTATGTTTTTAAGCTGCCAGAGCTGGGGTTTTGATTAATACAGTAGTGAGTAGACCAAGGAGAGGTTCTAGTACTAATGAATGCAAGCATTCAATATAATTCTGTTTGTGAGAGTATATTAAATTGTAATTTACATAATTCCATCAGGCTTTTTTGTACCTTGCAATTCAGAAGTAAGAGTGTTGCGTTCCAGGAAGTTAGTTTTCAGTCAGTTTAGAACAATTTTTTTTTAAAGGTTTTTGTCAGAGAGCGCATGCACTTGCCAGAGAGAGACAGAGACAGTGAAAGGGAAAGTGAGAAGTCACTCCCCAAGTGGATGGTCATGCCTCAATCCCTCTCCTCCATTCCCCTCTTGGGATTTTGGGCATACATGCATACAGTCCTAGTGTTAGTTTCAAGCCACCAGGTCAGGGACTTGTACCGTGAGCAACTGTGTGGAAGTCCATCATCTTAACCACTTTACCACCTGCTAGCCTCAGAGCATTACTTCTTTTTAAGAGAGATTTTTTTTGTTAAAGGGCACATGCACTCACCAGAGAGACAGTGAGAAATCATCCCCTGGGGGTATGGCCACACTCCAGTCCCTTCTTCTTTCTCCTCTCAGGACTTTGGGCATGCACGCACACACGCCTAGTGTGTGTTTTAAGTCTGTGGATCTAGGACTCGAACCATGGTTGACTACATGGGAGTCCAGCGACATAACCATTATGCCATTTGCTGGTCCTAGAACATTACTTTATTTAAAAAGTTAAAATATTAAGATGATTCATAGAAAACCTTATACAACATAGTTGAATCAAATTTATAATGACCCCTAAGGTTTCCATCATCTTTGTGGATTTCAGAGGTAAAGAATTCATCTTTTCTCTGCATAAATATTGAGAATTTTTCTTTTTTCTCTTATCAGAGAAAGGATAATGTATACAGGGTCTAACTTACTGCAGTAGAAATAGCAATGAGCCCTAATAATAGAAATTAATTCAGCTATGTAGTTTCAGGAGTAGTTAAAAATTAGGTATTTGTCTTAAGGCAAATTTAAGATAATTGCTTATCTAGGTAAGACAGTAAGAGTTTTTTCAGGAGGAAAAACATCTTGTTAATTCTGATGTTGATGTAGGTTTGTTGATACTTTAGTGAAGTATTCTGTTGGGTTGTCAGAGAAGTCATGATGTATTTTTCTATGTTTTTCTGTGCAAAAACATGTCATAACTTTTCTGACAACCCAATAGTTTAAAAATATTTTAAAAGAAACAGATTTCCAGGACCAGCAGAAATCATGGTTATGCTGCTGGACTCTCCCATGGCTGACCACAGTTCGAGTCCTGGACCTGGAGTCTTGCAGCTCACACTGGGTGCATGTGCATACATGCATGCCCAAAATCTCGAGAGAGGAGAATGGAGGAAATGGGATTGCAGCGTGGCCATCCCTCCTAAGGGGTGATTTCTTGCTTTCTATCTATGTCTCTGTAGGAAGCGCTTGTGCCCTATAGCTAAAATCTTTGTTAAAAAAGAAGAGGAGGAAGAAAGAGAAGCAAGGTTGCCTTTGAGCATAGTATATATATTGTGTTAAGCCATTATATTGTCTAAGAAAAGGGAAAGGGAAATAAATTATTTTAAAATAAATTATTTTTTAAAAACTATAAATTAGTTAAAAAAAACTATGCCCCAACAAAATATGTCATTGAATATGTAGCTATCCGTAAAAGCTACAGGCATCCCTTGACCTTGGGAGAATTTAATAACCGTTATACTCTGTGAACGTGTCCCCTGAAAATGTATGTTTTGATCAATTGGAACAGGATTAAGAGGTTAAAAACATGATCCAGTTACAATGTCAAAAAGTGGAGCTTTTGGAAGATAAAGATTAAGGTTATCAGAGGAGGCCAATCCATCATGATTGACTTTTGCTAGGTTTGTAAGAAAGAATGAGAGGGGCCAGCAAGTGGCAAGGTGGTTAAAGGTGCTGCACCCCCACATGGCCAACCACTGTTCAAGTCTCGGACCTGGTGGCTTGCTTTCTCGCTTCCTCTCTCTCTCTCTCTCTCTCTGTCTCTCTCTGATCAAACTGGAAAATAATAATGATAATAATAATAAATAAGGTTAAATGGAATAATTCTTTAAAAAAAAAAGAATGAGAGACACACATATATGGAACACAGAACATGCTGTCCTACTCTATGTCATATTGTGAGGCAGCCACAAGTATCCCACCAGAGAGGACCTCCAGGACCTCAGACCTACAAAGTATGAACTGAATAAAGCTCTATTTTTTTTTAAAGAGATTTTTGCTATAGGACACATGTACTCGCCAGAGAGACAGAAAGTAAGAAATCACCTCACAGGGGGGATGGTCATGTTGCAGTCTCTTCTCTATTCTCCTCTTGGGATTTTGAGCATGCATGCACACACACCAGCATGTTTCAAGCTGCCAGGTCCCGGCCTCAACCCATGGTTGGCCATGTGGTAGCCCAGCAGCATAATCATTACGCCGTCTGCTGGTCTCTAAAGCTCTATTTTTATCAACCACCCAGTTTCAGATATTTTCTGTTATTAGCTACAGAATGGACTAGAATGCACCAGGAAATAATGAACTTCCTTCTCCTCAAAAGTAAATGACATGGACACAGCAAATGTAGTGGTTACATTGCTGGACTCTCACATGGCCGACTGCAGTTCAAGTCCTGAACCCAGTCAGTGGCTTGAAAATCACGTGCCCAAGATCCCAGGGGGTGCAGGGGGATGAAGGAAAAGGGATTGTGGTCTGACTGTCCCCCTGGGGGTGATTTCTTACTTTCCCTCTCTTAGTGTCTCTCTCTCATTCACTCTAAGGCAAAAAAAAAAAACTAAAAAAAAGTGAACAGCATGATTATTGTTTTGGGACTGTAAGAGAAATTGTTACAAAACAAATAAGTAGGCTAGGAAATGAATTGTTACATTGAAAGCTTTATGTTTTTATTCAGATTAAGCTTTTAGTAAAGTTTCAGACTGAAACATAACAGATATAATTTTAAATCTGGAAAGCGTTTTCAAAAGATTGACTAAAATGGGCAGTATTTTTAATATTGCTTTAAATTCTTTTTAAAAGTTAGGCAAATGCATTGATTAGTATAGAATAACCATACAAGTACTCTAGAAAGTGAGGAAGTTATATTTCCCTTTTTTAGAACATCATTTAATTTAATTTTTTTTAAATTTTTTTTTCTTTTTTTGGAGACGTTTTTGCTATAGGGCATGTGCACTCACCAGAAAGACAGAGAGACAAAAAGTGAGAAATCACCTCCCGAGGGGGATGGCCACGCCACAATCCCTTCTCCTCCATTCTCCTTTCGGGATCTTGGGCACGCATGTACGCACGCACGTACACGTGCCTGGTGTGAGTTTAAACCACCGGGTCTGGGACTCAAACCGTGGTTGACTATATGGGAGTCCAGTGACATAGCCATTACACTAACTGCTGGTCCCTATTATTATTTTTTTTCTTTTCTCTTTTTGGAGAGGTTTTAGCTACAGGGCGCGTGCACTCGCCAGAAAGACAGAGAGAGACAGAGAGATAGAAAGCAAGAAATCACCCCCCAGGGGGGATGGCCACGCCGCAATCCCTTCTCCATTCTCCTCTCGGGATCTTGGGCATGCACTCACGCGCCCGGCGTGAGTTTTAAGCCACCGGGTCCGGGACACGAACCGCAGTCGACTACATGGGAGTCCAGTGACATAGCCATTATGCTAACTGCTGGTCCTCTGGTCCCTATTATTTTTAAATTTGACCAGAGAAAGAGGGAAAATGAGAAAGCAAGCTACCAGGTTCAGAACTCAAACCACAGTTGACCATGTGGGAGTTCAACCATGCCACCTGCCAGCCCATGTATTTCCTTTTCTGTATTGAAAAATTCTTATTAATAGGAGA